TGTGCACACACAGAGAGCGAGCCAAATGAGTGAGTAAGTGAGTTCATAAATTTCTTATTCGTGTATATGAGCGAACAGAAATTTCATGTGTTTTTTCTTTCTCTCACTCTCTGTGGTCTGTGTTTCTAGCAGGAAAGAGTTGAGTGTGAAAACGGGAAAATCACTTTTTTCACTGTACAGTGTACAGTGTTTCAGCTTTACTTCTTCACTCATCGTGTGTAAATAATTTTTGCGCGCGACCCAAAAAATCGGAACAATTCAATAATTCAAATTAAAATCATATTGGAGTGTAGTGTCTTTCTCTCATTTAACTCATGTTTCATTATACGTTCGTCTTTATTTGATTTTTTTTTTATTTGACAGATCGACGAGAGAGTGAGAGCTGAAAATAAAAAATTGCAAATGGCTGATTTCATTACATGTTATATCTGAGAAGTAGTATACATACTGTGAACAAACAGCAGCAGCAGCAACAGCAGCTAACAGTAGCTGAATTAAAAATAATTCAAACCACCAATAATAAACTACAATTTTATTTTTATCGATTAAATTTAGAGAAATTAATTAGAATTGTAATTTGGTTTTTCATTGATTTTCGTTTTAAATGGTGAAGTAATTTTGTTCACTCAAAATAATCACAACAACAACAAACAAAACTGAAAAAAAAATTCAAGTGACTACTTTTGAAAACGAGAACAAGTGGTGCAATTTAGTGTGAAAATTTGTCGTGGTTTTTTTTTAATTTTCGGGAGAAAGTGATAAAATTGTGTATTTTTCGCTGCCACAACAACAAAATTCAATGCATGATAAAATGGGAGTGAATCAAATTCAGTGAGTTTTTGTGTAAGAGATAGAGAGAGAAGCGAGAAAAAAATATTCAAATTAAGCATTTCTTGTTAATGAGCAAGACATTTAGAAGAAGAAAAAAAACGGTGCAAAATAATTCAGGCAAAAATGCAGACAAATTTCAACGAAAACTTGGTCAATTTGATCAAAAATTCAATGTTTGCATTGGACTTGTTTTCATTCTGCGGCTAAACATCCAACTCCGGCAACGACAAAGAAACAAAAAAACGGGTCCATTTTTCTCGATTCGCTAAATTCGGGCATCAGGAAATTATAGAATGGTAGATCCGCACCAAGTGTTAATTGACAATGGGAATAACTCGACGAAAATCAGTGAAACACCAAATCTACCAGCAAATTTGATACCGATGAATGAGTCGGATAAAAAGCAAAATCAAAATTTAGATGTGAATAGTAGTGTTGTTGTGAATGATTCGACTACAACAACGACGGCAACGACCACGATATTGGCGGATGTGAATGAAATTTATGAACATAGACAAAATGTTTACGATAAACTGGACGATGGTGTGGAGATAATGTGTGGTCCATCGTCACGAAATTGCACCAATTCGACGATAAATGAAAATAATAGTGTAACCGCCACGGCGACAACATTCTTGGCTGCGCAGAATGGCAGCAACAGCAGCACATTGACACCATCGAGTAATTTTGCCAGAGACATTGAACAAATAAATGCAGTTAATAATCCGAATAAAGTGTGTATAATTGTGACAAATAAAGAACAAACCAGCGAATCGGATGATTCATACAGCCAACAAACGCTACCATCGACATCATCCATCAATAATAATTCAGCTGACAATCGTGACGACCACATCAAAACTGAAGAGTATTCAGCTGAATTTCAATTGCAAAACACAGCCATCGCAACCACACCGGATTTTAAACAGATTGATGCGACGACAGTTTCCGCTTCATTTACATCAGCCAACAAAATGGATTCGAGAAAAGTGGAACCATTAAGAATCAATATAAATCGTGATCCAATTAAAACGAAAATCAAATTGGGCGCATTACCCGGTGATCGTCAAACGATGTCACCGAAATCCTCATCATCGTCCAGCAATGCGGGCAACGATGAGCGTGATGATATCGGTGAGATGCCACATGAAAATCAACAATCATACCCGAAAATCATAATCAAACCGATTGTTAAACCACCAACGGAAATCGAACACCATCATCATAACCATAGCATGGGCTCACATACACCATCATCATCATCATCATCATCATCGTCATCATCACAAGAAGCAATACCAAAATTGAAAATTAAAAAAGTGGACACGAACAACAGTAACAGCACTTTGACACCGTTGCCAACACATTCGGCCGCTTTGAATAGTGACGATATCCAGGGCAATTACCAAACACATTTACTATCTGAATCGAGTTCCAGTGTGCCTAAGTAAGTTTTGCGGGAGATTTTGTTTCTCTCACTCTCGTTGCTTTTGGGAATCATTCTTTGTTTTTTTATGTGAATTTCGACCCGTGTTTTTTACTCTCACAAATTTTCATAAACTGAAGCTATAAAAAGTAGAGTGTTTCTACTGATTCACAGTGAAAATTCACTGTGAACAACTTTTTGATCCGTCACAAGAGATAATCTAACGTTTTTTGTTTTGTTTTTTTTTCTTCAATTCATTCTGTTCATTGCAGGTTAGCTACAATGCGTGGCTCAACGACAAATTTATCGATCGGTTCAAATAGCTATGACGAGGGCAATTGCACCGCATCCAATGAAGTGATTCCCAAGTTGACAATTAAATTAGATAACCATAATCAGCATAGTGCGGCTGGGGATTCACCGAGAAGTTTAGTATCAACGGGTGGCGTGAAATTGACGTTAAAACCAATCGCTGAACCGCCACTACCCAGATTCACCATCACCAATGCGTTTAATGACACAGCCAAAGTGGTGATGTTGAACAATAGCGAACAAACGGACGAATCAAGTGATGAGCTACCGTCACAGCCACCATCAAGCCAGCCCTCGCCAAACGATAAAGTCTCATCACGGAGCGAGTATGCGACACATGCAATCACATCAACATCTTCATCGTATTCCGGCCCAAATGCAGAGGATAACCTATCAACATGTAGCTCGGGCTCATCGTCAAGTTACAGCAGCAGTTCAAGTATTGCTAACAATGACATTAAACTTATAATAAAAGTAAGCTATTTGTGAATTTGACAAAAAAAAATCGAATTGAAGAAAAACTAATTGAATTTTTTAAAATTATTTTTATAGGCAACATCAACGGGTGGGTGTGTTGTGAGTCCGAACACGTCGGTCATACGAAATTCGCCATCTTCAATGAAATCATCGAACAATCTCAAAGTTTCAAGCAGCAAATCGAATAGTGGCGAGCAGTTAAAAATGAACAATATCACTTCGAATGTGGTCACATCATCAACAGTGAATTCAAATGATTCGATTCCGAAGCTAAATATTAAACTATCGGGCACCGACTATCCGCAGGTGATTCACAATGAGCACGATCAAAATGACATTGGACGAACGGAATCACCATTGCCAAAGCTAACGATACGCATGGCAAACAATGATGATAACATTGTTATACCAAAGGTGACAATCAAACCGGTGGTGAATCCGAATGAAAATACCGATCCGATAGCGGCCGGAACGCAATTAGTGACACCAAAAATCATACTAAAATCAATTCCAAAACCAATTGAAAAACCCTTAGAAATAATAACAACGGGACAGGGTAGCCCGTTTCGTAATTCAGAGAATGAAAGTCAACAGTCGCCGCGAATCATTTTAAAGATAAACAAAAATTCAACGTCACAAACAAAAGAGTCGGCAACGCTAACATCCACCACAATCATAGCTGATGATCCGATTATGCGAGTTGATTCACCGCAACCTGCCAAACAAAATGAATTGAAGCGATCGAATCATGAATCCGATGTGTTGTTGGCGAAGAAACAAAAACTTGGCACCGATGTTGTTCAATTGTTGAGCTCCGATTCGGAACCGGATGATGATCAATCACCACCATCATCGCAACCACCACCACCACCAACCACAAATAATAATCACAATGACTCGAATCAAAATCAAGTAAACATTCGACGTGATCCATTGGATACGTCAGTCACAACAACACCGCCAATTTCATTTGATACCAACTCTGGATTGCGTTCAATTCTCACCCGACCCCAAATGAAAATCCAACCGCAACCAATACAAAACTTTTTACAAACTCTACCTCCGTTTAAGAGTACCAGTGATAGCAGCAGTGCAAAAGTGAACGATGTCATCGATTTGTGTCATGATAGCAACGATCAAGTTATCGATGCACCAATGGATGAGGAATCCACATCGAAAGATGTATGCGATCCAAATCAAACGGCCGAATCGAATGATACGAATAAATTGGCCCATGGTAAACAACGGAATTCAGAGCAAAATAAAAAATCAAATTATTGGCAGTATTTCTGTAATGAAAGGGAAAAAGAACAAATCGAACCGATACATCCGCTACTTCAGCAGAACATTGAACGGGCTAATGTGTTGGCGGCCATGATGGAAGCGGCCAATAATCAGGAACGTTCAACGAACGGAAGTAATAATAACAATACAGCGAAGAAGGCGGAATTTGATGAAACGGCTACCGGTAATAATTTACTCATCGACAATGAAGGTTCTAGTTCAGATTGTATTGTGATTGAAGACACGGCATCGGAACCATTTCCAAATGAATTTGGAAGCGGTGAAAATTCAGCCGAACAAAATGGACGGAAAAAGGATTCGGTGGATCGTGATTCGGGCGTTGATGTATCGAATTCAGTGAAGTCAATAACCGAAGAAGAAGCAACGCCAGTCGTTAAACGACCGCGTGGTAGGCCGAGAAAGGGAACCACACCGAAAACGGTCACAAAGTAAGTGTTCATGGGGCTTGGACGTTGAGTTAGATGTCTCCTTCATTCTTTTTGAAACAATTTTCATCTTATCTTCAATTTTCATCCCTTTTTGTGCATTTTTCTTCCTTTTTTTGCATTTATTTTCTCATTTTACCACTTCATTTCATTTTATCACTATTTTTCATCTCATTTTTGTCTCTGTTCAATTAATTCTTCGATTCATTTTGCTCTGTATTCAAACTGACTCTCTTTTTCGATTCTTTTTTTTTTTTAAATAGAAAACCCGTCAAAACGCCTGGAAAACGTGGTGAGCGTAAATTTGCTGCCGTAGTAATAGCTCAACCAGATGTGCAAGCAGCTGAAGAGCCAAGTATAGACAATTCCTTTGTAATGGAATCACTATCTGCCCCATCCTTAGACACTCCGAACAAAAACTTATTGACGCAATCAATGAGCATTGACCATTTCAAAGATGTAGCCACTGAATCAGTACAACAAACGGACATTCTAACATCAGCCGGCACAATAACAATCACCTCGCCCATATTGCCGGTTACAATGGACATAAGTGAAAATAACATCAGTGAATCACCAAATCAATCACTACAATCTCTGGGGCATGAAGCTGTGCAGCTAAATAAAAATGTGGATATGGATGTATCAACTGAACTCACCGCTACCCCAACATCTGGTCACACAACAATAGACAAATCGATTAGTTTAACATCACCAACAACACCGAGTGTGCCGAAAGAGCGAAAGAAGCGTATAATTATCGATGACGATGATGAGTCACCGACATTCAATCCGTTGCGTAGCACGAAAAAATCACGCGGTAAAAACCGTCGAAAACAATTGCTACTGAAAAAACAACAGCTAAAAGCACAACTGTTGTCACCTACCGGTTTAGCTCTTAGCGATAAGGCAAATGAAAGTGCAGTATTCACATCACCTGAGGGAATTGTAAGTACATTCAGATTATCAATACATAAAATCCCATTGAATGATTCACATTTTGCTATTCGAACAGAAAAAAAAAATGTCCTTCTCTGACGCGTAAATCACATAAATTTCTCAGTGCGCTGCCCTTATTGTTAGCACATATCACCCGAAAAGTCATTGTATTTTCTCTCGCCACTTTCTGCATTACAACTTTTTTTTTCATGAATGAAACGATCCAAAGGTTTTTTTTCATTTATACAAATCTTGTTTTCGGTTGGTTAGTTTGATTTTGCCTCTGTGTCTCGTGCGCGCTACAACACAAAACACATGTTTTAGCCGCCGACAGGCTGCTGTGTGATTGTTTCACTCGCTCTCACCGCTCTTAGTGTGTTTGCGTGTGTATGTGTTAGTGTTTGTATGTGACGTTTGTAAGTCGCGTACAACGCAGTGCTGTATTCTCGCAATACAATTTCACCGCTGTTGAGCATGAGGGCCACGTATACACACGTGTGGATAGGTTGCGAGTATGTGTGTCACACTCTTTCGTATTTTTTTTTGCGCGCGCTAAGAGCTAACTGTGTCATGCGAGAGTCGAGAGTCGAGAGTCGAGTCGAGTCGAGTCGAGTCAATGTAAAAGCCGCTTGTCTCTGATAATGTTTATTTATCTGTAAGAATTCAATGAACGCCAACTGTCATGCTTCCGCTCACTCAGCGTATTTCACGAAGTTCAAACTACCGACTGTGAGTGACTTCGTTCGCTAGACAACAAGTAAATAGAGAAAATCTATCGAGTCGACGGTGATTTGGGTACGAACATGGGAGGCTCGTATTAAGCCCTATTTCTTTGTTTATGATTGATGATATGCATCAAATTTGAAAACAATACCTCGGCCAAAGGCATGCGCAATAGAAATTGCAACCAGAAAATTAGCAATGCAACAAAGAACATGGAGAAAGAGAGATAGAAAGAGAGTGTGTGTGTAGCGACGGCTACATACAGATGTAGACAGAAGGGATTGTGCTTACAACGCACGAATATGCCTTGTTAATCTCGGTTTAATAGTACGTTTCCGTTTTTTGTTTCAAAGATTCGTAGTTGGGATATGGTCAGTATGCAAAGTATTATACATTTGACATAGGTCAGGTGTGATAAGACCCGCTTCTGGCTTGATTAGTTTTTATTCTGATTGTAGTCATATAAAAGCTGCTACAGATTCTTAAAATAGCTAGTATAGCAGCAATGAGTTTATACTTTCTCAGTTATAGTAAATGTAGCATCGATAACAAACAGAACAAAAATGAGAAAAACATCAACTTTATTTGATAGAAGAAATCCTTTAAAAAATGTGTTCAGTTTGTTGCTACAGTGAATCGGCTTCAGATTGCATTCTCGACTTGATTTGACTCGCGACTGAACGCTTGGAATCCTATTCGCAACTGAACTCAATTCAGTCTGTTATTTCATACAATGAGCTCATTTCACTCGGTGAAGTACCTCGGTGAATTACCGTGATCGTACTCTATCCTTTCTATTTGCACTGTGTTAAGAACGATCAAAACGCTCTCAATACGATCAAAGAAATTCTACCGAATATTTTCATGTTTGATTACTATTGTAAGTAAAGTGCAATTTGTAGTCATGATTACTTTGATCTACAGTCAGAGCTAAATGGAAAGTGGCTTGTTATTTATGAACAAGAGTCAAAAGCAGAGTGGATTCATGCATTTTTACTTAATTTTTCCTAACAAACAACTCTTTTTTTTACCAACATTCTCCTTTCTATTTTTAGATTAATTAGTTAGATTCAAATCAGTGATTATTACAACTTGTGCTGAGCATTTATCATGGCATAATTTAAGGAATTTCGATTTTTGAGTATTGACAACTGCC